TTGGTAGGTACTTGTTTTTCCCCCCTAAAACTTGGCTTTTGTTATAAGAATTTACTTTATTTCCCCTCCTTCCCAAGCATTTTCTTATCTGCTTCTCTGTGTGTTTCCTGAAAAACTACAGGTAGTCCTCGACTTATAACCATTCATTTAGTGATCATTTTGACGTTATGAAGGCACTGAAAAAAAGTGACTGATGACCTTTCTCCCCATATTTATTACCTTTGTAGTATCCCCATTGTCGCATGATCCAAATTCATATAAATGGCAACTGGTTCATATTTATGATGGTTGCAGTGTCCTATGCGATCACCTTTTGTGACCTTTTGCCAAACAAAGTCAACAGGAAAGCCAGATTCACTTAACAACTATTTTACTAACTTCACTAAAGTGATTCACTTAACAATTATGGCAAGAAAGATTGTACAATCGGGAAAAGTTCAATTAACAACTGTCTTGCTTAGCAACAGAACTTTTGTGCTCACTTGTGGTCATAAGTCGAGGACTGCCTGTACTTTCATTTTAGAAGATAAGTGTTGGGCCCCACAAATGCACCATGCCACAGTCATCCGATGCCTTAACAGATTTGTTCTGAATTTTAATCATGCTTCAAGAATAGATATGCTAGCAGGTTCTTTGCAACCTGATTGTCCAGGAGTGATGGTTGATAAAGAGAAAATAAGGGCATTTGTGTTGCATGGTGGGTGTTCACAGATGTTAAGGTGGCAGCCATCATCACACAATCAAAGTCACCATCTTCATGTTTTAATGACACACACAAACACCTTCTTCACAGACATCCCTGTAAGAAGCTAACCATTCCAGCATCATGTTTTGACACTTAATCAGGTTCCTTAAGGCTGAAGGAGGTTACCATTATTACTTTAAATATTTTACCACATGGGATGGCCAATAGGATCTGTACATTATCAGAGGTAACTACAGAGTTTAGAAAACCAGAAATCAGCCAAGCTTGGTTATATCAAACTGAGCAGAAGTCAGACATGGTGGAGGAAAAAGAGTGATGTTCAGAAACAAAGCCCAATGGCTGTTTAATACTCCCCCCCCCCCACCGCATCAAGGCCATTAAATTTTAGGTCTAAAATTGCCTAGCTTCTACCACTGCAAGCTGGCACATTGAGCTGATTTATATCTTTCCCTGGGCTGAAATTTAGCACACATAAAACAACTTTTGAGTGGATGTGGGACAGACGGATAAAAAAATATAAGGTACTACAGGAATAGAAATCCATGTTCCCTCGATCAATCAGTCAGTCCAAACAAACCGTATCATTGGGATGAGATTTTTCCACTACCAGATCTGTAGAAACACCAGTAGTTACATTTGTCAGAATTACGTATGATATGCTGGACCCTGGGAATAGTATTGTGGACAGAATATAGTTTTGGGAATGGTTATTTAATCTAAAAATATGCATCTTTACTTCTCTTTTACACTGAGTCTTAAAAAAATTAGTCCAGCTGTTTGATTTTAAGGGAAAATGTGTTTATCTAAAACTATCTTAAGCTGTACTTTTGCTCTTAGCTTCTAACTCCACAGGGCAATCATTACAACAGACATAAATCATCTGAATGTACTTTTGCAATACAAATGCACGTTCGTGTGAAAGCGATGAGTTTCTTCAGTCAGCGGCTTTAACAAATGTTTAAAAAAAAATACAAAATCATATTAGACAGCAAAAAGTTGAGAAAAAGTTTCAGAGGATCTTGGCAGATAAGAAACTGAACATGTGCTAAGGTTTACGATGGAGATGCAAAGAGCAAACGCAATCGTAGATTACATCAACCAAAATAGAGTGTCAAATTGAAAAAAAAAGTTATTGTTACTCTCTGTTCTGCACTGATCAGAAACATCTGAAATATTATTACATCACATTTTAGGGACAACTTTTATAAACTCAAATAAAATCAAGATGATAAGGATCTTGGAATGATTGATGAACAGTTAGTGAGAGCTTGGAGAAGAAAAAAACTAGAGCAGTGTTTCTCAACCTTAGCAACTTGAAGATGTCCGGACTTCAACTCCTAGAATTCGCTGGCTGGGGCATTCTGGGAGTTGAAGTCTGGACATCTTCCAGTTGCCAAGGTTGAGAAACACGGAACTAGAGGTACTTTTTGACTTGCTGTTGCAATGCGGACTGGAATTTCTATCATAAGACATAACAGTCATACGTTGAGGCACTCATTGGACCCAATTTTATGACTTTTTGTGATA